TCTTTTTTTTTTTGCGGACTGTACATGGTTATTTTCAACAGTTAAAAATCAAAAAATTTTGTATTTCGGTGCATTTAAACAGGGAAACTCACTGCTACATGCCACCCGTTTTATATTTGATTCTCGTAGAGTAAGTATTAATTTAAGTAAATTATTAATCATTTTACAAACAGAATACAATATATCGCTCATGAGCTGCAATAGTGGCACAACTCAAAAAGCACGCGTTTTGGACTAAGAACAGGTGTAAATATGAAAATACATATTCTTTTCAGCAGCAATACTAGCATAATTCATTTAACTTGAAGGTAATCTTCATTTAAGCAAACTAAAGCATTTCCTGTGCATTTTCATTAGCAATGAAAACTTTAAACCGACTTACTCAAAACTTGATTTTTTGAGTTGTGCCACTATTGCAGCCCATGAGCGATATATGTGCGATAGACATTAGAAAATATATGTTTTGGGTCCATTTTACGCATTTGTATAGTGCATAAACTTTGAGAAATTTAAGATATTGCACCTCACATAATCTTGGAATGTACCGTTAAATTACTATGTTAGCATTTTTATAATTGAAAAGATATTATTTCTCGTTTAAAATATTTTTACCAGTAACAGTAACCCATACATTTTGAATTTAAAACTTTATTTATTGAATCAATTTTAAAAACCTAATCTAGCTAGTTTGCATTGGATAGCAAAAAAAGAATCATTTAACTCACCTGGGTAATTTCATTTAAATAGAATGGACCCTCCATTCCAGCATAAATAGAAATAGGAACTAACAGAATTTGATGCGGGTTTCTCAGATGCTTTACAGCGGACAGAAATTGGTTCAAAATAAAATTGCCTCCACTCCCTTCTTTCAAATCGTTCTTCAAAGGATCCAAAAACAAAGCAAGGATGAGAGCTGAAAGAATTCCAAAAATGGCAAAGGTACCGACCAAAAGCTGTCTTTGGCTTTCCAGAGGAGGATCTAAATTGGAATTCGTGACATTATCGTAAGGCTTGAAGTAATATCCGCAATCATCAGTCGTTGATTCGTTAATAAAGGTATTATTGACTCTATTTGGTTTCAAAGCATAGTAAACGAGGATATTACCAAAAATGTATGTTGATTCCGTGAAAGAAGTAAAAACTCCAAAGAAACTAACCATAACTACTTCAATGTTTTGATTAACGCTTTTCTCAAAACGGGACGCCAGTTCTTCGATATACACAGCTTGGGCAGTTACGAAAGGTCCATTCATCAGACCGTACAGTACAGATGTCACTATCATCGTGTCCCATCGCAGGTACATGTTGGCGGCTAAATAAGGACAGCCTAGCAGCGTGCATGCTGTCAGTACCTTCTTGCTGCCGAATTTGGCGATCAAAAAATCTGGTAAGAAAAGTGATGAAAGTAGAGACATACCATTGATGACTGCTTGTGAATCATCGCCTATGCCATCATTACTATTCATTGTACTTTGTAGACCTCCAAGGCACCAATATCCAGTATAAAAGAATAAATAACATAAACTAGTAATAAATAAATTTCGCAGGATTCTCCTTTGGCTCATGCCCTCTTGCGAATCATCTTCTACGGGAGGTTCTTCATGGTTTACGGAAAAATCCCTTGTAAAATTGCTCAAATGTTTTGAACTATCCTTCTTTACTGAATTTGACATCGTTGAATTTTATGAATAATTAAAAGGAAAATCCCGATGAAACTAATAAAAACATATAATGAGTATATATATGTACAAAAACAAGAAAGAAATTAAATTTCTTTATTTTCAGAATGCATGAACGAAGCAAGTTGACACAATAAACGTCTAAATCATAACTGAAAAATTATGTTATCTTATTTTTTTTAACTTATCCAGTTAAATGACGCGACAATTTTTATCAACAATTCCTTTAAATTTAGATAAACGTTATAATGCAAGACCTAATCTCCCTCTTTAAAAAATGAGTAACACGTTTCTTTAAAAGAATTGTCATACTATATTTACATACAAATAAAGATGTTTTGTTGCTTGTTGAAAAGTTTGAAACATATTCCGCACAAAATAAAATTATCCTCGAACCAAGACAAGATTTGTAAACTTGTTTTTGTATTTTAAGAACTTAAAATAAATTTTATAACGTTTATTTTATACCGTCACGTATTACACATTTTGGGCAACTTCATCTTCGCTTAAAATCCTCTTACTAAGCCATTCATCTGCCACTCCTTTTACTTTTACTTTCCGCATTAAATCATCAAAGAATGAAGCCCAAAAATTATAGTTATATTTATCAATCGAACCTAAACGCTTGGACGAGTTCCAATGCCTCTTCGTGCGACGCTTTTTCTGCAAAATAATAAAGCACAGGTATTGTTTTCATTTATTCTGTGAGTTGTTAAGTCTAGAGCTATTCATGAACTTTTTCAATTCCTTTTACAAGGGAAAAAATCAGTAAAGGTTAAAAAGCATCTAAATGAATGACTGCAAAAGAAAAGATATATAAATGTATAGAGAGAGAGATTTCAAAACTTTAAAAAAAAAAGCTGTAAATAAATGATAGAACAACTGAAACAAATTTCGACGCAAGTGTATTTTGATAAAAGTTAAAATACAATCTTTTTTAATCGAAGATAAGAAAAGATTAAAAAAAACTTTGTTGAAATGTTTAGAATACTACTCACATGCAATGAAAATATAAGGTAATGCGTGGAAACTTCAAAGCCAATAGGCTTTGCTCGCTCACAAGCTTTTTTTAAAAAGTTTCAATTCATTTTTATAATTATTTAACATGAATTGTCGGAAAGGATATAACTGTTAACCGCATTCAAAGAAAAGGTGGAGACATATACACCGCCACATCATTTTTTTACAGTTTTAAAGTAAACGAAATAATTTCAATATAAACGAAAACATGTTATAGTTTATTTTTAAAAATTAGCTTAAAATTTCACGCTTTAAAAGAAAAGTTTCGTCAAGCCACTTTCTAGTAGTTTTGTTGTCATATCTTACTCATTTTCAACATTTCGTCTTAAAGAGGTATTAATTGCAATGAATGCAACTTCTCCAGTGCATTCCATAACAGTTTGTTACACTGTAAATTCCATTATAATTATTACAAATACCAGAGCAGTCTCGGCACGTTTAGGACAAGGTTCAGACCGTTCTTAGACGAATGAATATTGAGAAGAAAATTTTTAACGTACATCAGCTCTTTACCAAATCTTAATCCTTGCTTAAAATCAAGATCAAACAAATTCAAATTTTATTCTTAAATAATATCAAATTGCTTTTACCCTATTTGTAAAGTAAAGAGCAAATTATGTATTCATATTTTCCATAAGACACGCGTTAAAGTAAATTTCTTAAATTTTTGCACAGCTAAAACTATTAATAGAAGAAAAAAATAGTGGCTAATTTTTTTTTTAATATACGATTGTAAAAAAATGACATTTTTTTAAATCATTTTCCAAATCTTTTAGTCAAAAGCCTAGGATTTAAAATGAAATAATTCATATAAACACTGTTGGAATTCATTACAAGGCAACAGCTTGAAAAGTGTGTAAAATTTGAGTAGGAATTTCTTCTAAACAATTGTATACATAGATGTTCCTTACATTGTTATTAGCCTCAATATTAAAGGCAAATACATATTAGGCTGATAATCTTTAACATTGCATTTCTTGCAACCTTAATTTTCACATTTTCTTTTAGAAAAATAAAAAACTTGCCTCAAAATTTTAAACAAATAATCAAGTGACGCTCTTGAATAATTCTCTCAAATCTTACAACGTGATGTATCATATTTAAATTAAAACGTAATTAAATAAATAACTATAATAATAATTAATAAACACGTTTACATTTTTTTCTTCTTTTTAAACAATATTTTTAATACGACATATCATCAAGCAAATATTTTGAAAATAAATAATTTTACCCTACTAATATTAAGCTTTGCAAGGATTATTTTAATATAATTTATAGATAATCTATGACATTAAAACTACAAATAAAAAAAATTTCACTATAGGAAAAATATGAAATTAAAAAAGAAAAGAGCCATAAAAACTTCTTAAATTTTAAAAATTTGAAAAACAACAATTATGTAGGCATATTTTGAAACCAGAGTATTCTACGTTCAAGAAGAAATATTTTATATTATGGGGAAAACGAAACCTTACAGATATTTGTATTTCTTGAGAAAAAACAAACGGGGCATAACGTCACGTGTTTACAATGTAGCAGTTTACAGGGAATGGACAAAATAATGTGAATAATATTAGTTTCAAAAAAATGCGCTATTTTTTTCAATACAGTTGCATACTTGCACTTCAAGAAGAAGAAGACCTCCCATACCCACACATGTGACCTATAACGTCAGTGCCAGCTTATCTTTATTAGCAAAATGGCGTATTTAAAGTTCTGCTAAGTTAAGTTGGAATGTTAATTAAGGATAAGTTAATTAAATACAAAGCCGTATCGCACATCAAATTAGTTGAAATATAATTCTTTTTCGCCTACTTCTTTTTCTTGACTTGGATTTATTATTTGTTTATGCATTTTATTAAAGCAGTGATATTTTTTTTTTGTGTACCTGGCAGTTTCGATGCATAACCAGTTTGCTTTTGTTCTACATGCCTTCGTGCCGGTCTTTGTGTTAAGCCTATGTTTAAATATATAGTGAAAGAATTGAAATCTTCGACAGCCTTTCATCCCTTCAGTGGGTCGATAAAATGAGTACCAAGCATGCTTGGGAGCTAACACTGGGGGTTCCGCGTTCGGCTGACCACCTGACCGGAACATATGCTCCTGCACCCCAGAGCCCAAGGTCAAGAAAACTGAGATGGGCACAGTCGGCCTTGGCCCTCTTAATGGGCTGTCGCGCCACTGAGTTAGTTAGTTAGTTATAATTCTTTCTCGCCTACTTCTTTTACTTAACTTAGATTTATTATTTGTTTATGTATTTTATTGTAACAGTGATATATTTTTATTTTGTCTACCTGGCAGCTTCGATGCATAATTAGTTTGTTTATGTTCCACATGGCTTCGTGCCGGTCTTTGTGTTAAGCCTATGTTTAAATATATAGTGAAAGAATTGAAATCTTTGAGAAAGAATTTAGAATGTGTCACTTAAGAGAATTGATACTTGACGGGCTTGGCTTAATCGAAGTAGAATAGAAAGAAGAGTTTCTAACGTAAACAAATGCCACGTTTCAACAACCAATCAGGATCGAGATGCCCACACTACGTCACTTGCAGGTATCCCAAATAAATAAAATTTATCTTGTTAATTTTGAATTAGCTTTATTAGGTTATAGATATAAAAACTACATTTTTTTCCAGATAATTTTTAGTTCAAAAAATTATTTATTATTTTTTGAACTAAAAATTATCTGTAAAAAAGTTTAGTTTTCATATCTATAACCTAATAAAGCTAATTCAAAATTAACAAGATAAATTTTATTTATTATTAAGCTAAAGAACTATCTGTAGAAGAAAAGCAGCCTGATTGGCGAGTGACATCTTGTGTATTTCCTAGCAAGATCTTAGAATGAGTTGCAAAAATCATAATTCTACGCACCCTTGTCATTCAACCTATAACAATCTCGAGCGTCCCGTCTCGTTTCACCCAATTAGACACCAGATAAATTATTTGTGAGTGAAGTTCGTTGATTCTTAGAATCACATTAAATGAAAATAAACAAGCTTTCATCTTTTTTGTTTGAGTATAAACAGAAGTTATCTACAGTTAACCCCTTGGCATACGAAGACGTCTGGGAAACGTCATTTGTTTCTTATGTCGAAACAATAATTGACGTCTCTCAGACGTCTTCAACACAGAGATGCCAACTTGCTCTGGACAGCAAATAAATATTTTAAAGTGGTAGTTTACCAATTGTGATTCTTGGTTTAATAAATTCAGTTTGTAGTTATTTACTGCTTTTTTTTAATTATTATTATTATGTTGGCGTGTCCGGAGCAGTTGGCATCTCTGTCAACATNGGAACCGATTATCCGGAAAGATCGGGGCCATCGCTATTCCGGATAACTGATTTTTCCGGTCTTCTGAATCGCTACAAAAAGCCGTTTTTTTTATTGTTAAAACCAACTAAAGAAAATAATATTTGGAAATAATCTTAAAAAGAAGAAAAAACGAAGTAATACACTAATGATTATTTTCAAATTGATAGTAAGGTAAACATCTTTCCAGAAAGAAAGAAAAATCCTAAAATCTTATAAGGAAAAAAAAATTTTTTTTTAATGGCTGGAAAATGTATCGAATTTTATTCCGGTTTTTTGGTTTTCCGGTTCTCTGATTTCCAGATAACGGGTTCTGTACTGTATTAGATTTTTATCCACCTCTACTTCTAAATAATTCGTAGGATTATATATAATTCACCACTTCATAGTAATTATGTCATGCTATGCCTCTTAAAAAGCAAGCAAAAATAGTCAAATATTTGCAAAATTAAGTTTGTAGGTACTTCCTGTGTTTTTTTTTAAAATTATGTTGGCGTGTCCGGAGCAGTTGGCATCTCTGTCAACATTCAGTTGCGTTGTTGTTTACAGTGCAATCAAAGATCATTTCCAAATCAAGAAATTAATAATTCCGCACAGTTTAGAGTTTGTTTAATAATATGTCAAGTGGTTAAATAAGCCTTTTATTTACTTATCCCAGTTTTGGTGAAATATGCGAGGCTTTTTCTAGCTTTGTAATTTTTTATATAGCTTTCCTTATGATCACTGTTAAGGTATTGAAATATTTATTACTTAGACATCTTCGGCGCATTACGAAACTACGCTTAGTACCCAACTTTTTTTACTTTCAACTTTTTTTTAAACAATGATGTATTTTTAATACTTATGAGTGGTCCGTGGTGGCTGAGGGGATAGAGCGTTCGCCTCCCGATGAGGTGAACCGGGTTCGAATCCCAGCGATGGCTGATTGATACTAATTCCGCACCGGAATTGCACAGACCACAGTGCTAACGTAAAATATCCTGAGGGGTTGACGGATCCTGGGTTAGAGTCCCCTTGCCGTCAGACTAACTGATGGAGGTTTTTGCACCATGTAATGCAAATGTGGGTTAGTTCCATCAAAAAGTCCTCCATGAAAGCAAAATTTCCCCCAATACTTAATCCAGAAGTTCCCTTGTCTTCTGAATTGGGTTCAAAATTGCAAAACACCCGTGAAGCGCCGCAAATAATTATTTAAAAAAATGGAACTATTTCAATTTTTTCCGATATTTGTTTTTCAGTTTTTTGCATTATTGTTTTAATACTGAGTTGTTTTATTTTATTTTATAACCGTCGTTGAACAGCCGACCCAATTTTATGGGGTTTACGACTTCTAATGTTCAACTCCGTAGCCTTGTAATT